ATAACTAGTGATTATCATTTGCCTATTGCCATTAAGAAAGGAACCGGAGAATGTACTAAGCATCCACTATACCTACTCTCTAATTTTGTGTCATTTGAAAAATTCGTACCATCCCACAAAATTTTCCTTGTGAGCTTAAACACTATTTCTATTCCAACTACATTATCTGAAACATTATCCAATGAGAAATTGAGGTAAGCCATGAAAATAGAAATGGAGGCCTTAAAGAAAAATATAACATGAGAACTGGTAGAGTTGCCTAAAAGAAAAAATTCAATTGAGTGTAAATGGGTTTTCACTGTAAAATACAAGGGGGATGGTACTATTGGAAGATATAAGGCCAGGTTGGTGGCTAATGGCTACACTCAAACTTATGGAGTGGATTATCAGGAAACTTTTGCTCTAGTTGCCAAGATGAATATAGTTAGGATTTTGTTATCCTTGCAATTGGCAGCTTCAATAATTTGATGTAAAGAATGCTTTTCTACATGGTGATTTGGAAGAAGAAATATATATGAAAGTTCCACCATGATTTAAAAGTCATCTAGAAGTAAACAAAGTATGCAAGCTGAAAAAGGCTTTATATGGCCTTAAACAATCTCCTAGGGCTTGGTTCAGGAGATTTGCCAAAGTGAGGCCAGCAATGGGATATAAGTAGAGTAAAAAAGATCACACATTTTTTATCAAGCACTCAGATTCAGAGAAAGTCACAGTTCTATTAGTGATGTTGATGATATAATTATAACCGGAGATGATGAAAAAAAGAGAATCTCTTCAACAATGCTTGGTTAGAGAATTTGAGATAAAAGAACTAGGGAAATTGAAGTACTTCCTAGGAGATTGAAGTACTTCCTAGGAATTGAAGTAGCTCACTCACCACATAGTATTTTCATCTCACAACAGAAATATGTGATGGATCTTTTGAAGGAAACTGGGAAGCTTGTATGTAAACCTGCAAATACCCCTATAAATCCTAATCATAAACTTGGATAAGCTAATGAAAATGTCACTGTAGAGAGAGAGATGTACTAGAGATTAGTTGGAAGACTCATTTATCTCTCACATACTAAACCTGATATAGCATATGCTATGAGTATGATAAGTCAATTTATGTATAATCCAAAAAAAGTGCACCTATAGACTATCTACCGTATATTACTTTGAAGGCCAATCTTGGGAGAGGTACCTTGTTTAAAAGAAATTTGGGGTTGGTTCTAAAGACATATACAGATGTGGATTATGCAAGTTTAGTAACTAATAAAAGATCCACCTTAAACTACTGCACTTTCCTAGGTGGTAATCTTGTGACTTGGAGGAATAAAAAATAGAATGTGATGGCAAGATCAAGTGCCAAAGCTGAGTTCAGAGCAATGGTCAAGGAATTTATGAACTACTGTGGTTAAAGATTATCCTAGAAGGCCTGAAGATCAAGTGGGATGAACCAGTGAAACTCTACTGTGATAGCAAGTCTACAATAAGTATTGCACACAATCCTGTGCAACATGATAGAACAAAACACATTGAAGTAGACTGCACTTCATAAAGGAGAAATTATACAATGGTTTGATTTATACAACGTATGTATCAACCAAGGGTCAATGTGTTGACTAAAGGTCTAAGCAGTGTAACATTTCAAAATATTATTTCCAAGCTGGGAATGAAAAACACTTATTCACAAGCTTAAGGAAGAGTGTGCGAAAACACTTATTTACAGCTAGTTGTAATATTGTAATCTGTATATTTATATTTTTATCTCTAGAATTAGGGATAGAAAATTAAGATAGACAATCTCTCAATTATAGGATCAATTTTAGAAAGATTTAGTTTTCTAGTTTACCCACTAATTAGTTGTATATAAACCTAAAGCGTTTGTATAATTAAGAAAGAGCAGTTTTTTGATATACATTTAGTTTTACTCTTACTTTTTCACACAATTTTATTTTTTATTTTTTTCACAGCTTTCATGCATGTGCATGACCATAACCGCAGTAAATTGGACCCACGAGCTATAAAAGGTGTTTTTCTTGGATACTCTTCAACATAAAAAGGGTATTGCTGTTTTCAACCTCAAACAAAAATGTTTTTTATAACTATGGATGTCACTTTTTTTTTAATCTCAAAAGTGTTTTTGACACTCATTTTCAAGGGGAGAATAGTTGTGAAGACTCGTTGTTTGAACTTAAAGGTAAAAATACAGATTTTGTACTACAACCAGATACTTTAATGAGTTTGGATTTTGGAGTTTCATATCTAAAAGTGGAGCAACGTACGTCCCTACCTATAAGTGAAATAGAAACTAGAGCAGAGAATAATTCAAGAAGTAAAGAAAGGTTCTGAGCTCATTGCTAATCAAGGAAAAAATAGATTCACAAGAAAGATGACATCACAACCTTATAAAATTAAATATCTAATACGAGAATAGATCCAAATAAGACAGTACCTTTACGTCCAAGTAACTCTTATGAATCTAATCTTTCAAAAATTGACATTCTTGAATTTGTAGATATTTCGATTGTTCTTAGAAAAGGTGTTAGAACATGTACCAAGCATCCAATTTCCAAGTATATGTCATATAAAAATCTATCACCCTTCTTATTTGTTTTTATCTCATAGTTGTCTAGTATGGATATTCCTAAGAAAATACAGGAGGCTCTAGTTGTTCCTGAACGGAGGGAGGCTGTCTTTGAGGAGATGAAGGCTCTGGAGAAGAATGACACATGGGAAAATGTTAGTTTGCCAGAAAGGAAGATGCTTGTGAGATGTAAGTGTGTATTCACAATAAAATTCAAATCAAATAGGACTTTGGAGTGTTATAAGGCAAGAGTGGTATGGGATCGACTACCAGTTGCAAAATTAAATACAGTGCATGTGATTTTTTTCATGGCTATGAACTTGGAATGGTCATTACATCAATTAGATGTTAAGAACGCATTTCTTAATGGTAACTTAGAAGAAGAGGTCTTTATGGATCCTCCACCAAGACTTGAAGACAATTTTGAGTCCAAAGTATGTAGGGTAAAAAAGTCTTTATATGATTTAAAGCAATCTCCAAGGGCATGGTTTGAGTGGTTTACAAAGTCAATCAAGAATCAAGGGGATAGTCAAGGACAAACAGATCATACAACGTTCATGAAGTATACTAATGGTGAGAAGATTGCAATTCTAATTGTCTATGTAGATGACATAATCCTTACAAGATGTGATGATGCTAAGATAGCCAGATTTAAGAGATGCCTTGTAGTAGAATTTGAGATCAAAGATTTGGGACCACTAGGGTACATTTTGGGAATGGAAGTTACATAAAAAAAGGGAATTTTTGTATCACAAGGGAAGTACATCTTAAACTTGCTAAAAAAGATTGGAATGAGTGGTTGCAAGCTAAGTGATACACCAATGGACACAAACCAAAAGCTTGGAAGAAAGATTGAAGGATTCCCAATTGAAAAAGGAAGGTACTAGCGCCTTGTAGGAAAACTAATCTATCTTTCCCACACAAGGCTGAATGTTGCATTTGCAATCAGTGTTGTAAGACAATTTATACACTCACTTGTGACAGTACACAGGATTTTGAGATATCTTAAAAATACAACTAGGAAAGGATTGTTGCTCAAGAAAAATCATTTGAGAAGTGTGAAAGTTTTCACAGATGCAAATTGGGCAAGCTCAATCACTAATAGAAGATCAACTTCTGGTTATTGTGCATTTCCTTGGGGTAATCTTGATCTTGTCACTTTCAAGAGTAAGAAGCAAAATGTTGTTGCACAAAGTAGTGCAAAGGCAGAATTTTGAGCTATGGCTAATGGAGCATGTGAGATGATGTAGCTGAAGAGAGTTCTCGAAGAACTGAAACTAGAATCAGAACCTCCTATGAAGCAGTTTTGTGATAATAAAGCAACAATCAGCATAACTAATAATCTAGTTTAGCATGATCTAACGAAACATGTCAAGATTGATAGGCATTTTATTAAGGAGAAGTTAGAAAGTGAAGTAATCTGCATGCCATTTGTCACCTTAGAGCAACAAACAACAGACATTCTAAAAGTTCGTCTAAACCTAGTTTTGAAGCACTAGTCAAGAAGTTAGGCATAATTAAAATCTATGCACCAACTTGAGAGAGAGTGTAGAAACATCAGGATTTTTTGTTATAAAATCTAAACTGTTAAATATTAACAGATTTGGATTTTTAGGTGATTAGGTTGTTATTTAGTTCCTAGAATTATGCTCAAGTAGATAGGAAGTTAAATTTCAAATTTTAAATTTTAGTCTATTTAACTCTTTGTAACTCTCATGTTAATCAATAAAAAGTTATTGTCTCTTTGACTGTTCTGTTCTGTTGACAAATCATTATTTTAACAACTTGCCCATGTGACAATTGAATCCTTAACAAAGTTAAATAAGATTTTTAATGTCATTATGATAAAATATGCAGCCATTAGAAAAAAGCAAAATATAAAAATAAAGGGCCAATTTATTTTTTTAAAATGTTTTCCATTTTTCATTTTTGTTTACACTCTACAAATGATCATTAAGATAAGATAAATAACTAAATTTGAAAAATCACAAAACAAGGGATTTCAAATGAGAAAAACCACTTTTAACAATTTTCCAATTTTATAGAAAATAGGAAAACGAGGGTTGCCAAATTTATTTATTACCCTTATTCATTGATTATTCATATCATAAGAAATAGGGAGGGAAAATGGAAAACATTATCTAAAATTAAATAAGCCTATAGCTTTTTCACACTTTTTTTTTGTGATGGAGGATGAAAGATGCTAATGATATTGACTAAACACTATACTCAACTGCATGTTAGCAAATTGTTATATTTTAATTTAAATTATTATTTGTTACCATCTAGTGCAAACCGAAAGGTGGTAAATACTAATCAAAATAATCTCTCTATATTCTTCCTAACTACATAAATTGTATTTAATATAGAAATTTCTCAAGAAGAATCAGTAAATTGCTGAAAAAAAGGGGGGGGACAATCAAAATACCTGATACCATCCACTATGGCATCCCAGCAAAAATGTGTGTGGCCAAATACATGACATGCAGAGGAACTATCTTTAATCCCATGTATAGACCTTATACGATCCTCAAGCCAATCAGAGCCAATGATTTTTGGGAGGTTTGGATAGAACAACATTCTTTTCTCTGGACACAGCTCTTGCCTGCATAAGAATAGCAACAGTAACTTCTTGCCCCAAGTATTTGTCAAACTGATTTTATGAACTCTGTTTATGCTAACATAAAAGGTTTTTCAGGTTCAGGCTAAGAAAAAAAGCAAACATGCATGATATTGCTATTTAAATGGAAAAGAAAAAGCCCACACCCACATAGAATTGAGTAAATGGAGTTCTGTATTATTTGCAAAAGACAGCAATTTTTTTGAGAAATTCTAAACCTGAGATTATACAAGTTAACAAAAATCTTTTGTTTAAGCAATAGACTAAAGTTTTCTTATTTCCAATGTGCCTCAATGAGTTTCAAAAATAAGAAACTCATTTACCAGTAAGTAAAGAGAAATTGAAGCTTTAGAAAAAGTAAAATATTTTGCCTCTTAAAGGCAGTTATTGACAAAAAATGCTGTGAATATGAATAGCCAAGACAGAAACTGAAATAAAGATGTTTAGTTGAAAAACTTAAAGCATGTGTGACAAGTACCGTAGAATACATTAAAAAAAATAAGATTTTGATCTTAAGGATCTATTAGTATAATGTATTTCCTTTCAAAGACTTCTAGTGCAAAAGAAATCAGGACATTATTTTTTGATCCTCTATATGCTGTTAGACAAAAAGTAATGCCAGTTATGTTACATAACAAGCAGTTTAAGATTTTCTTTGGTAACAATATCGAGGTATAATTTGGTAAATATATCACCAGTAGTTCTCAAACTCCTGTTGTCTCATTAAATTCTAACTAATTATTCAGGGATTTTAACAAGACAAAGAAGTTACTGACAACCAATTTTTTAAAGTTGGCAGCACAAATATTTAATCATCAACCTCAACAATTCTGCAAGATTTCTTATAATTTAATGCAGATTATTAAATTTTATTTTCAATTAAACTAATTATTTCCTTATAGAAAAAAATTTTAAATAATTATTTAATAAAATAATACAGAAGTACCATACGGAAGCCAGCATACTGTTTGGTCTCTTCCACAACCTTCTTCTGTCTCCAGGTAAATGACTTTTCCTAATAAACTTTCATGATTATGCCACAAGTTTACTCCAAATTAATAAGACTGTTTGGTTGATGTTTATGGTATTGACCTTTTGTTTTCTATTCATTTTTTAATTTTTCTTTTTGTTTTTGGTTCATTTTTTGAAAAAAAAAAGTAAATAGGAAAATAATTTATATTTGATTCACTGTAATGTGTAGAATCTATACATTGTAAGTGAATCAAATGATGCCACTTCATCAATGATCAAACATAAATTTTTACTAGCCCTTAAATAAATACACAAAAACTTAATATAAAAAAAAATCTCATTAATGAGTTGGAACTATCTAATTTACTGACACTATATAGAATCTATACATGCATCAAATATAAACTCATGCACCACAATATGCTGCTCCAGCCTATGGTCCATCAATTGAAAATTTCTATAGTGTTCCTTCAATTTCCCATAACAATTCATATCATGAAAACCACCACTTGCCCACCCAACATCTAGATACTGTGACTTGATTGACAATTTTGTGATCATTCTCTCTCATGTTTGGATCCTCTCTTTCTCCTTTCAAATGTCAAAACGATGCAACAAAAAGAGCTCTTTATCTCTTTTCAATCTGACATTAGGAGCTCAAGGTAAATTCCTACATATCATATTTGTTTCGATTACTTATGCAAACCCCATCCCTGCATCCCACCCTGTTTCTCCCTCTCTCTCTTCTCTTCCCCTATAATTTTAAATGACATGTTACAATAGAAAATGCAGAAGAGACAAACTTACTTTTACTAGACAATTTCATGATAGTTTACAAGAACTAGGCACTAAAAGTTAGATTATTTCCAAAAAAGGATTATCACTGCTGGTCCTGAAACCAAGTGCCATTAAGTTGACTCACAATTTATTAATTAGTAAAAACTGAAGTTTATCCAAAATCATGTCAACCATCAGTCAAATGGCACTTGATTCAACTCCAACTTGTGTCAGGGTTTCTCAACTTCACAAACAAACAAATTCTTCCGATAGATGCAAGATACTATAATAAATTCCAATTAGAAGAACATATAGAGCAATAAAAGTAGATTTGAGACTCATCAAGGACAATCCAAATGATTTTTAACCCTTATAAGGAATGTTAAAAGTTTCAACTGTGTTTCCTACAACAAGACACCTCTGTGTCAATAATGTAGAACTTGTGCTACATTCTCATTATTAAATCAGAAACTCTCATCAGATACATTGACAACATAGTGATCCTTCATTACAAGAAAGTCACCTCCTTAACATTACAAAGACTTAATTATGGGGATAAGAACATAGTGCTCTTTTAAATTCTGAAGCAGATGAAAAAGAAGAATATCCTTGCTCTTTCTATTATATATTACTTAACTTTAATTTTAAACCCTACAGACATTGACGACTTCATTTTGAAAGCCAGGACCAAGCCCAAATAAAGGAAGGTGGCAAAAGGTAGTCCACAGGCAGTATATATTGTCGTTGAACCTCCAAAAATGAATCAAATTAGAAATACAATGAAAAGTAGGAAAGAGCCAATGCATCGATGCTCAAATGTACTGCAAAAGGAAGGATCCCTACATCTTCTTGGACTGGTGCAAGTAAAAAACTTGGTCCACTAGGATTAAAAAGCTTCATTTGTTACATGGAATATCGAGAACTATCAGAAGAAGTGATTGAAGCTATGAAGTAGAGAGCTATTGGTGTTTTGTGCCTTAAAGAGACAAAGTGAACTAGGGAAAGGACTGGCCACAAAACTCTGGTATTTAGGTAGGGATAAAACACGGCCGGATGTGTATCTTTATAAATGCTGAAGGATGATATGATGGAAATGAAAAGGAATTGGGAGAAGATCATTGGTGTCAAAAAGGAGATGGAAGAAGAGACACTTAATATTATCAATGTGTATGCAATTCAAGTTGGTTAGAATGAACAACTTAATGAAAAATTTAGGAAAGATTTGGATGCACTATCTAAGAACTTCCTTGAGAAGATTTCTATGGGATATTTGACAGGGCATAGTGGAAATGCAGCAAATATAGTACAGATATTCATGGGTCGTCATGGTATCAAAGAAAGAAATGATGAGGGAAAGGCTAATATGGACTGTGCCAGAAAGATGTCAGGATAGGTAGCACTAGCTTTAAGAAGAGTGATGAGCACATGACCACTTCTAAGGATTGCAATATTGTCCTAGGGATGCTTGCCACACGGATGGAGGTTAGCGGTTCTTGATGTGATCATGAGATGTTGAAGGATGGAAAAAAGAGGTAAAAAGATCTTTAAAGAGCCCATAAATCAGTTGGTGAGATTTAAGATGTGGAAAACATATTGCCTTTAAGAACAAGTTTGGTAAACAATATATTTGGGGTTGTACAGCCAATCACATTCAAAAAGTGGCTAAGGAATTTCTTAAAGATTGGAAACCTCCACGGAAAGAATCTTGTTTGTGGAAAAAAGAAGATACAAGAAAAGTTAAAAGTTGAAAGAAAACAAACTGCTGTAAAGATTTATATAAATGCAAAAATGAAGAGAACTTACGGATGAAATAAGTATGAGAATTTTAAGGTGGTTAGGACAAGTGAGGTACAACCTATGACCACAAGATGTGCTCTATTGAATGATACCCTCGTCAAAAGAGGGAGGTGCGACCTAATAAGACCTAGGAGAGAGAAATAAAATGTAACCTTTCTCTTAAGATTTAACTTGATCCTAATATGGAACCTAATCCCTCCAACCAACTAATATACCAGGAAAAGGCTTTGTTGTACTGACATTTAGAGTACAGATGCAATTAGGGTATTTGCTCTAGATATATGCCTTGATTAATGCTTTCTATTATTAAATCTAGGCAACATTAAATAAATGCTCATTGAATTTCAAGTTAAACAATGAGTTGAGGAAAAAGGAAATAACCTAATGGAACCCAAACCCAACCTTCAAAAAGGAGGTCTACACCGAGTCAATCTCTCACTCAACTTACGGCACCTTCGAGCTTTAAGTTTACACAATTCTTGAATCTGAAATAAATTGGCTGCACTTTGTAGCAATCCTATTGTTAGAGGCATTTTATGGTCCAAAGGGCAAAATAGACATTTTATCCCAAAGTGTGAGCCAGCAACCACACGAGGGCACTTTTATCATTTTGACCCGAGCTAACATGTCAAGCCGACCTGAAGTCCCGGTATCGACATCAACTCAGCCACCTCTATTTGCCACCTAAAGGAACATGGGAATGCTGACTTTTCACTTCCCAATTGGGTTGTTGACTAGCAGATCAGATCAGGCCAGCAATGTCAGCCCTAACCCCACTACTTAAAGCTCGGACCACCCAGGCCCACACTCTCACCCTACAGGTATAGATAACCCCTCTCCCTTCGGTACTATTCATTCAATTTCCTTATTCTTCATTTCCAAGTTCTCCCCTCTCCCTTCCCAAGCATTAACTTGAGCATCGAAGCACAAATGCCGGAGTAACCTCCAGCCTTTGCTACTAACCGACCTCCTACCTTGTGATTTCAAGTTCTTGCCCTTGTCAAGACAGCTCGACACCAACACCTATTTTGAGCAGGATCTGCAAATGATTTCTGGAAAACCGTTCATATTCAATTTCTATTATTGTCGTGCAATCTGCTCATGCTTCTCATATCAGACAAATCAAATTGATCCTGACATTGGTCTTAACTCTTACTAGAACTTTTTAATTCTATCCTTAATGTCTTCAAGATTTCTTCATAAATCCAAGTAAGCTTCCCTAAGTTCTGGTTTCTCATAAACATTTAACTGATGCCTAAAGTAACTTACAATCAGAAATCGAACCTCTTAGTTTCCTCAGGATTCCTGGAAGCAGCTGTGTCCATGAAACCTGAATTACTGTCAATTAATCAATCCTCCTAATCAATCCTGATTCCAGATTATGTTTTAGGATAGGTTGCAACCCCAAACTGGCTTGATCATTTTCCCTTTCTAGTTCGTCCCTCCAGCAACTAGAAAACCTCTTGTTCACACAGTTTGCACCATTCCCAATCATCTTTACATCACTCATTTTTTTTTTTGTTGACATTTACATACTTCACCCATGTAAGTATTGCACTATCCCTATATTATGTACTTGGTGCTTGCAGGATCATTCTTGCCTCCGCATCTAGCTACCTACTTTACATAAGCATTTCATACTCCTCCAAATCCTAATAAATTTCATCCCATTTCTCTCACAAGACAATGCTTTTCAACAAAGTTAAAGAAGCTATCCTCCTCTAACCACCATTGGCACATTACAAATTATGGGAGCAATATGAATCAGCAAGCAACTAGCTAAAACAAATAAAGAGAATAAGCATGTAGCTAACCTAGGAACAAAGTGAGAAAATGTAATTATTTGGCTACAAGTCCTCTGGATCTGCTTCACAGTATGCTGATTTTTTTCATTCATCGCATCAAAGCATAAAGCAAGAGACGTATCTCTGTTTGAAAGGTTGCCAGGCCACTTGCATGCATGAAAGTCCTTGCATGCCTAGAAGAAGAAAACGAGCAAACAAGTTAAGAATGTCTCGTACTTCACCAAATCAAAAATCAGAAAACACTTCATGACAAAAACAGACAAATAAAGAGAAATGAACAAGGAAAGAGAAGTAGGAAAGAAACAAAGTAAAGAATTTCCAAAACAATTTGAGATAAGCATGAAGATGCAAATGCCTAAACATCAAACAACTATTAGACGGAAGATTATGAAAAGCAATGAGTGGATAACGACACATAAGAAAACTCATCATAGCATGTGATTCACCAACATAAGTACAAAAACAATCTACATAATGCTAGACATTTTAAACATAAAACAGTTAATTATGCAGAATGTATGAGATGACTTCATCAAATAGAATGAAGAGTAAGGGCCAAGAACAGAAGAAATCCATGGTATTACACTATTAACAATCTATTGTGTATAAATAAGATAAACAGCATTGATCAACATTAATGAGAGATGGCACTTCATTATATGCAAATTTAGCGCATTTAAGCTGTAGGTACTGCACATAAGTCACCATAGTTGTTTCAATGTTACTAGAGAGCATAGATCAACATCAATGAGAGAAGATGCTTCACGATAGTTGTTTAAGTATTATCAGATAGCTTAACAAAATGGCTTCTTTTTGTACAAACATTAGGATTGTCACTTGCATTATCTCAATATTTGTAACTCAAGAAAGAAAGTTATAATTATTATGCTTAATTGGACAGAGAAAAAAAAAGAACAGGATGATAATTCTGCACCAAAAAAAGCTTTCAAAAACCTCAAAAGGGTAAAAGAAAGTGAATCACCATATCCAAAGATGGAATTCGAATGCCACTTATGTTCTCCTCCCTATCAAAGCTCTGCAGCAGAAGCAGAGGTACAGAACAAACAGGAATTACTTTTAGCACACTAAAAGGTGTAACTTTCAAACAGTCAAGCAACCAAGGACTGTAATAGTTAAAAAATAAATAAACAAATAAATAAAACTATTTATGAAGTAATCACCTCATGGTACCAAGAAAATAAAGGAACAATTCCCAAGCCATCTATAGCCACTGGATTGGTCTCAATTCCAAGTTGTCTAGATGCATCAAGCAACTTATTCAGCTTCTCAATAGAATCAAGCTGAAAATGGAACCACACTACTTCAATCTAAGATGAAAATTTTACATTACCAGCAAAGGAACACACTATAACAGAAACAAGTTCGAAAAACAAGAAGCACGCATGGTGACATTATCAAACATAGAGCAATGGAATTGGATAAATAACATTATATTTTAATTCCTGTGACAATCCAATAAATTAGAGGTCAAATATACAACAGAGAAATCATAAACACCTTCAGAAGAGTAAGGAAATCTTCAGAATTTAAACAGAAACTTAAGTGACAAGTACATGACCAAATTGCAGGCTGCAGCTTTTCAAAAGACAAAAAGGTTGACAAAACCTCCAGAATTATTAGGTGACAAAACTGCCTATTCTAACGGGTAAACACTTGATAAGAAACTAAAGAAAGTGTTGAAATTTGTTTAACTAAGTGATAAAATTGCATAAAAGTAAACACACACAGATAAATGCATCTATATAAAAGCATGTGAATTGTGAACTTAAATTTCTTTTCTTATATATATATATGTATATATATTTATATATATACATATACAAACATGTATGTATGTATGTATGTATGTATGTTTGTATTTCTTACATCTTCTCTCTCCCAACGACACCATAGATCATGGTTTCCTGGTATATAGAAGACATATTCAAACCTTTCCTTCAAGAGAGACATGGTCAAAACAAAGTTCTCATATATCTCTGCTACATCACCAGCAACAAGAAGAACATCTTTCTTGTGTCTCCTAGTTGACAAACTCCTCACCCATGCCATATTCTCTGGATAGTCGGTATGCAAGTCAGAGAGCACAAAAACCCGTAGACCAAAACCATCTCTCGTTGCAGCAGGCAATATCTTAGGCCTTTGTATACAACCCCTCTTTATGCCTCTCCTATACTTTTTTAATGCAATTTTCTCAGAGAGACAGTTTGAAGATAAGCTCAAGGACGAGATCATAAGCATTGTTCAGTTTTAAGTGCAATGAAACAGCTGAGATGAGCAAATTGCTTTGATTTAACAATAACCCAGCTGATGAACAACAACCAAGCAAGCAATTACAAAGCATTAGCTTATCATTCAAATTCAAACTCCAGCAACTAAAGCATCTAACTCGTACATTGGCTAAAACTAAAAGGCGCATATGAATGCAAAAAGAAATACTAATATTTCAACTAACCATCAACTGACTACGCATTTGACCTTTACAAAAATTTTAAAAGTAAACTGAAGGTTACCATTTTGCATTAAATGGAATTTAATTCCAAAAATAGATTAAAAAATAGATTTTACAAAAAATTAAAAAGAAAAAAAGAGCACGTTCATTTGGAAATCTGTATGAGGATTTTACAGCTTCCGTTTGTTTACATAACACATTTTCTCGGTATCGGATGGGTAATTTCTGAGAATAAAGGCCGCATATAATCCGAGGATTTGTTTGTAAGTAGGTTTGCAATGCCCAATAAATTGAAAAAAAAAAAATAAATAAATAAATAAAATTGCTTACATGCTTATTTCAGGCGTCTTTTCGCCCTTTCCGCTTTTCCTTTTAAGACTGATCCAACTCTAATCCATCTAATAAATAAATTAAAAAAAAAACCCCCATAAACTTGGGGTGATTACACATGAACCCTCCGATTGGTTAGTCTTGTTATTTATCGTTAGATCCAAAAATATATTGGGTTGAATGAAACTAGGAACGGGTTAACCTTCGGAAGCAAAAAAAAACAAAAGCAGACATACATGCATATATACATAAATATATATATATATATATATATATATATATAAACACACACATTCACATATTTGTAATCAAATTGTGCAATATCCTTCTTTAAAATTTGAAAAATTTTTTTTAGTATCTATGCTAAATTTATACTAAATACACTTAGATAAATCTAATACACAAAATTATTATAAGAAAAAATTAAATAATATTATCATTTTATTTTGTATTTAATGTATATAAAAATTAGGATAAAATAATTTATTTATTTGTCAAAATTATCTTTCTTCAATATTTAAAAATTTTAAATTAATAATGTAATTTTTAAAGATATAATTAAACATATAAGTTTAATTCCATGAATTAAAAATAATCATCTCTACTTAGGGAGAATTGAATAATTTTATGTCAAGAATATATTAATTCTCCTTACAATTCATATCTTTATGTTTATATACAAATCAAATATGATATAAGATGATTATCATATTATCTTATAAATAATCTTATATATCAAACATTATCTTAAAGTAATCTCCATTTCTATTTCATGTCGATATGTGTCCAAACTTAATTACTTGACACTAATTTTTTAAAATCTTTTTGAGTTTTGAAATTTATTTCAAACATAATAATTATATCATATTATTTATTGGGGGTATTTATGACATTTGTAGATTAAAATTTGAAGAATTCTATTTACACCCCCATTTATTATTTTATACATCCAACTTTTAATTATATTTAATTTAAAACTCAATTTTCTATTTTGACTAAATACCCCCCATCCTCACTTTCTATTTTTCATTCTTACCTTGTTTTCAATTGATTTTGGTTGAATTGTGGTTGAAATGCATGTGAATATAGGTTAGGGTTTACGGTAAAATTTAGGTGAAATCAAATTTTTCAGAAATAGATATACAAGAAACCTTAACATGCATGCTAGTCCACTAACCGAGCTTGAACACCCTATAGAAACAATTTAATTAAATTCATAGGAACAATTTAATTATATTTTATTTTTGAAAATAGATTTTCGAGAATTATATTGCATTTTCGAAAATGAAATATAATTCTCCTGAAAAACTTTGCTAAAAAAAAAATTAAAGAGCGTTCTAAATACACCATATTGCATTTCTAAGAATTATATTGCACTTTTAGAAATTCATTTTTGTGACTATAATATAATTTTCGAAAATCTATTTCTAAGAATTACGTGATTTGTAGTATTTAACAAAGGTTTCAAAATGTTGGTTTTAATTTTAAAGATTTTGGGTTTAGTATATGTAAAAGAAAGATGAAAGAAGAAACAGAAGAAGAAGAAAAAGGAATAAAATAAAAAAGAAGAAGAAGAAGAAAAAAAAAAAAGAAGGTTTGGGGTGTATAAGCTATTGAGATATTTTTGTCATTTATTAAAGGCTAAAATTGATATTTGCTATGTGGGTATTTTTGAAAGAAAATTTATGGGGTGTATAAAGAAGATTTTATGGTGTATTTAGAACAACCTTAAATTTTTTTTTTGTAACAAAGTTTTTTTAGAGGGTTCTTTTTACTACCATCAAGTGATTCTTTTAATTTTTAGAGAGTATTTGGTTCACGAAATTTTATATTCCGAAAGGGAAAGTGATCCCTAGGAAAGTGTGGATTCTTGGTAAGGGGTGATTCTTCTCAGTATAAGAATGTTAGATTTCTATGTTTAATTTAGGAAAAAGTCAAATTACTTAATAAAATCTTTTTATAATAATTTCCTTCATTACATGTCAAATACATCATTTTTGTTAAATATAACGTAGTGTTAACCAACGAAATATGAATTAAAATATAGTTTATTTTATTAAAAAAAATCATAAAACAAAACGTCATATTTGATATAGAAAAATTTTGAAAACAAATACTACAACATTTTCATGTTGAAAAACACCATATTTGATATAAAAAAATGAAAACAAATACTACAACGTTTCTATGTTGGAAAATGTCATATTTGAGAAAACTCTGCTTGAAGTTATCCCAAGTCCACACCTTCCTGCCACTATGTGTGAGCTTTAGATAGGTTGATAGTGTTTACATGAGATCTTTGATACCTTGTGACTTGTATTTAATTTGCTTACTTTTTTTTATATATGTGTGTGTATGTGGTTTAGAATCTAATAGAAAATAGTAAGATTTGACCGCTTGAATGAATGAAAAAAAAATCCTCAAAGCCATTCGTTTTAATTTGGATCTGGACTAAAAAAGAAATCCTTAGAGCCATTTGTTTAAATTCCACAAAATAATAATAAAAATAAAGATGTTTGGTTCACAAAAAACATCATTGTTTTATTAAAAAATTCAAAAAAAAAATTAAACCACAATTACTGCATTTGGTTCCCTAAAAACATCGTATTTGACATTGAAAAAAATTGTAAATGACATTTTGTTCATAAAAAATGTCATCACTGTATTAAAAAAATTTTTTAAAAAAAATTCACAATTACTGTGTTTGGTCCCTAAAAACGTCATATTTGATATTGAAAAAAAATAGTACTCAAATATTATGTTAAACTTCCAAGAAATGCAATATTTTTGCAATTTGTTTTCAATACTATGTTTGTAAATAAAAAACTAAAATTAAAATTTTTCCATAGGTCGACTTTTAAAAAGGTAAAATAGAATAAAAAGGTATTTTTTATTCCTGACAAATGTGGGATGAAAATAACTTTCATCCCAAAAATCTTAAAAAATCACAGGGAGATTTAGGTTTTTGATTTTGAAACTTTTGGGTACTGTTGAGAATCAAGATTACCTTTAAGAATCAAATACCTGTGAATCAGACATGAAAATCATATTCCCACAAGCAAGATTCCCGAGAAAAATCATAGATTTCCTCAAACCAAATGCTCCCTTAAATTTAAAAAAATAAAATGCTAATAAAAGATAAAGATTGAAAAAAATAAATGCTAAAGCTTCTTTCAAAAGCTTATTAAGACAGATGATAGATAAGGATGAAAAAAAATAGAAAAGAAAAAGAAGGGAAAATGAGAAGTAAATAAAAACAAAGATTCTATGGAAAGAAACTTTTGGAGCATATTCTATTTGGAGTACATGTAGAAAGGTGAAGCATATTTGCATACTTGAAAAAGAAAATAGTAGATAAATCCAAAGATAGAGAAATTTGAAAAAAAAAAAAAAGAGTTGGGCAAAGAGAAAGGAAAAAAAAGGATGCAAAAGGTTCGTTTTTTACTCTTACACAATCTTTTCTATTTTTTTCTTCTTATTTCTTTTATTTTTCTTTTGTTCTTCAATCATTTTATTTTTTGACTTTCTTGAATTAAGTTTTTATATGTGTGAGTTATGCTATTTTTAAAAAAAATATTCACCCAAAATACAATTCAAAGAGTTTCCAAACCATCAAAATCCCTGCTATATAAATACCTTGTGCATTTTTAAGTAAAATTTTGGATTTTTCCTTCCATATGAATTGTTTTTCATACTAGGGAACAATAAAGGCATAAATAGGCCTGGTTGGTAATCTTCAAATTAGTTTAGAAGTTTTGTGCATTAATGTTTTGCTTTCGGCTTGTTTCTTATTTATCGTAATCATCGAGCAATGGGAATTGGGAAGAAAAGGATTGGAATCAATGGCATGTTTTCATATTTTTATTAAACTTGTGCCTTACTTTTTTTTATAGTTGTATGTTAGCTGCATTATTTCTTTAGGTAACATTTGGTACATTTTCAAGATTATCATGATAATTTAATCATTGTAGTGATCTTATTACTAAAGTAATTTTATCACTTACGATATAAAATCACTTTATTTGGTTAAGAATCACTAATTCGTAATAAGTAAATATTACTATATTTAGTATTATTAAAAATCAAACATTATTTCATATGAAAGTACCAAAATAACCAAGCACATTATAATAGCTACACAAGTTAATAATTTCAATGTTGTTTGAAAGATAATAATTTATAAAATATTAGTAATATTTTATATACTTCAAAATAAAATATAATTAAATTATTAAATTAAAAGTATATTTATTAATTGATAAACTAGTTTTTATAGTGTAAATTATGTAAAAAAAATATTTGAATTAGAAAATAAAACTAATTTATTAATATGAAAATATTATATTATATATAAATTAAAAAATTAAAAGAAGTCACACAAATTATTTTTAAATTTCTTATAATAAATATTAATTTGAAATTATAAAAATTTATAATATAATAAAATTACAATTAATTTGAAAAGAAATGAGTTTTTAATTCACTTATTAAATGGATAACATTGACATTATTAATTTTACATATTACTTGTATGATAAAAGTTTTTCACCCCTTTAAATGGAAATTAAATCACTCTTCAAGGTAGTGATTTAGTTATTTTCAGTGATCTAATATCACCACCACATAAGATTACTAAAAAGTTACCAAACAAATTAATCTAACCACTATACGTAGATCACCATGATTATTTGAGTGATCGTCCATACTAAATACTACTTTAATATCCATAGAAAATTATCAATTTAGTTAAAGTGTGTAGTTGAATTGTTTTCAATATGCTTACAAATTAGCAAAGAACAAGTTACAAGGCTTAGCTCATATCGCAAGCATGGATGGGGATTTGGGTAGGTATCCTATCTTTAGGCTTTTACCATTTTTTGGGAAAGAAAAGTTTTAAAGAATTGCAGTTCATATATCTTGTAAAAAGGATTCTTTGTTAAGGTGAAAAAGCGTTACTAACAAGTAAACAAGATATGACAAGAGACGATAAAGAGGAATATTAAAGTAGACTCTAAAGTATTAAGTACAGTGACAGATGGTGAAGCAAGGCGAAGTAGAGAAAGATAATAAGGTTGAGAAAATGATTTAGGAAGAGATAATTGAATAAAGAATTGAGTAAATTTGCTAAAGTCTCTAAAGTCCCCCTAAATGAGTTGTGGGAGCTTCTATGTATAGGTCTTCAAAATGAAGTTACATAAAATGAGAATTGAATATCAATAATTAT